AAGATATTCATGTGTTGTATTGGATTTGAATCTTCCTTGGTGCATGGGTAGTGATTTTAACTTAATAGATAACCAGATGAAACTTCTTCTCACTCTTCTACTAATGCTTTTATGAGAATATTTAATAACTTCACTTTGCATCATGGGTTTTTGGATTTACGTCCTGGAACTTTGTTCTCTTGGCCTAATAATTGTATTCATAACTTGATTATGAGCAAACTGGATAGGTTTTTCAAGTGAATGGGATGCACACTTTCATTTGGTGCATGTGAACTCTATGCGACGCTAGTCTTCAGATCATATTCCAATTTTGACGCAAATTGATAATAATATAATAGGCCCAAAACCATTTCGTATGGAAATTGCTTGGTTGGAGGAGGTTGAACTTGTTAAGTATACATAGAATAATAATGTTGTTTAATGGTTGGCATGGTTTTATACAACATGAGAGGTTGCTAATGTTAAACATAAATTGATAGAATAATGTTGTTTAATGGTTGGCATGGTTTTAGACAACATGAGAAGTTGCTAATGTTAAGCATAAATTGATAGGACGCAAGAAGGAGAAGAAGTTGTATAATAGAAATAAAATTGATGAAACCTTGGTAAGGTATCAAACCATAGAAAATGAGGTGCAAACAAATGGTGCTATAATAAAAAATATGGAAGGGAAAGGGTGCAGTTGATTAATATGATGCATGAGAGTTACTTAGATTGGAGGAGATTTATCGAAAACAAATATCAGATCAGTTAGTTGAAAGAGCAAGATGTTAACTAAGTTCTTCAGGTCATAGCAAGTGCAAGATGGAGACAAAATGATATCTTAGGAATACTTTTTAGTGGTGTTGATGAAGGCAGTGTTCGAAAAGACGGCTGAGTCTTTTTGACTGGGTCGAGTTATTGGGCTCAGGCCCTTGCCGAGCTGAAGCTGTCCTAAGTTGGAGGTCCAACTTGGGGATTTTAAAAATAAAAAAATAAACAAGCAAAAAACTTTATAAAAATCCCAAAATATTAAAAATATATTTATAACATTTATTTATGTTTTCTATCATTTTGGCAAGGCGAATGGTTTGATAGGGTTGCAGCCTGACCTCATAACTCATTGAAAATTGCAAATCAAGCACTGGAACACGTTTACATCGATCATCTCATCTTGAACATTATGGTTGTCAAAAAATTAGGATTTCAAGCTCTAAATTTTATCTAGACCGTCTAGTTCTCCCTAAAATAAGTATTCAAAGCTCGGCAAGATTTGTATATTTTTTTAGTTTCAACTTTTATTGTCGGTATTGAAAATTGATTTTAGAGCCATCATGGAGATTTTTGTTGCTGAAAGCATTTTTCAAGCGAGAATTTGACATGAGGCTTTATTTATAGAAAATCCATCCTTTTGGCAAAGATTAGAAAGTATTTTGGTCATGAATACTTATTTTTACATTTTTCCATCTTTTTCAAAAAAAATTGAAATTACCCCAATTACACACTCATGTTTTAAAATCGATTTTTTGCTTCTTTTTAACCACAATTAGTTGTGTTTTGTTAAATTTTACTTCGAATATATTTTCCAATTATTTTGGATTTTTTTGCATTTTTTATTTTTTTAATAGTTTTTAGCTGCTGCAGTACTCAGCTCTACTCGAGCCGAGTTACTTGGACTCGGGCAAGTACTCGGCTAGGGCATGGGCCGAGTAATCGGCCCGAGTCGAATTTTTGAACACTGGATGAAGGTGACTAGGAAGCTTTGGAGTTGGAATCTACAAAACTTTTCATAAAACTTTTTCAAGTGAATATCAGTTTCGGAGTGGATTTGGAAGGGATTCCTTTCAAATTTTTGCCTTACCAGGTTGCAAGAGATTTGGAAAGGTTGGTGGGTGAGGATGAATTGAGAGGGGCTATGTTTTCTTTGTCAGGAGATAAGTCCCCAAGCGCATATGGATTATAAGTCCCCTGACGCATATGGATTTTGGCATCTGGTGAAGGATGAACTTCTACTCATGGTCATTGAACTTTTGGAAGGGGAGTTTTAAGTAAAGGAATAAACGCTACACATAGTTCTTTGATTCCAATGAAGTCAACCATAGAAGGTATGAATGATATTCACCCCATCAATCTTCTTACTAGTATTTACAAGGTCATTCCAAAATCCAAGTAGCGAGGCTAAAACCGTTACTTTCAATTGTACTTTAATCAGCATTTACTAGTGGAAGAATGATCACAAAAGGAGTTATCATGGCTTAGGAGTGCATTCACTCCCGTGTACAGAGAGGGATACTGGCGATTGTAATTAAGCTTGACCTGGATAAGGTGTACAAGAGTATGGAATGGGAAGTTCTTCAAGAAATTTTGTTTCGCATGGGTTTTGGTGATAATTGGAGGAGGTGGATTCTAAGCTGCCTTTGAAGTGCTGTGTGGGTGAATGGGTCTCCTAATGATTTCTTCAAAGCATCTAGGGGGATAAGGAATGGTGATCCCGTTCTGGCTTTGATATTTACCTTAGTCACTGCAAGTCTTTAGTTTGATGTTAAGAAATGTGGAGAAAAGTCAAAGATTCAATGGCTTTAGGGTTTCCTTTGAGGCTCCTTGTATCATTCATCTATAGTATATTGATAGCATATTGATGATACCATCACATTTTGTGGTACTTATGTGTATCAAATTTTAAAGATTACGAGGCTTTTAAGGTATTGTGAATTGGCATTAGGTTCGAAGATAAATTTTGGAAAAACTACAATGGTAGGTGTGGGATGTAATTCAATAATTGCAAGGGTTTTGACTTTTGTTTGGGTTTGTATTGTGGAATGTTTTCTTAGTAATATTTTGAGCTTTGCTTATTTCATATTTGTTGCCAAGGGAGACTTGGGATCCAATTTTGAAGAGATTTCAAATAAAATTGCATTTATAAAGGACAAATATTAGACCTTTAGGGGGTAGATAACTTTGATTCAAATTTATTTGGCCAAACTTCCTATTTGTCAAATATCTTTGCTTTTAATGTTTAAAGATGTCGTTAGAAGAACAGAGCAGTTGATGAGAAACTTATTGTGGAGTCCAAATGACAAAGTGAAGAAATATCATTTGGTTTATTGGGAAAGGATATGCACACCCAAGATAGATAGTGGTTTGGGTTTGAAAAAATTAAAGTTGGTGAATCAAGCACTTCTTGCAAAATGGTGGTGGAGATCTATGCAAAATGAGAACCATTAATGGATAGAGGTACTGGTGGCTAAGTATGAGATATAGCATATTCCAATTTGATTGCTAGAGGAAGTAGAGTATCGTAATATTCACATCTATGGAAGGAAATTTTGTATACTCACTCTTTTGTAGAACAATATATCATATGGCGTGTTGGCAGAGGAAATAAGGTTCTCTTTTTGGCATTAAATGGGCTGGATCTAATTCTTGGAAACTTTCATATCCGAAGTTATTTCAAAGGATATCACATCCTATGGCGAGGGTCGATGAGGTATATGCAGGGCAAGGGAATTCTTTGGTATGGAATGTCAATTGTATTTATAATAGGGTGCCTGATGTGGTTGAGATGCAACTTACAAATCTATTGAGGGAGCTAGAAGGGGTTCATATTTTAGATAATGTGGATGATGGGACTGTATGCGAGGGGGAAAATGATGTTGAGTATTCTGTAAAACCTGCCTTTCATATTCTTTTTCATGATCGTTTCAGGTGTCGTCAACCTAATTTGTATAAAATTTAAAAATGGAAGATCCCCTATAAGATCCAAGCATTCATATGCATATTGTTGCAAGGAAAAGGTGTTTACAATTGATAACATTGTGAAGAGAGGCAAGACTATACTAAAGGTTTATTATCTTTTTCATTGCCCTTTACCAATAATATTTGGTGTTGGACATTTCTTAAGAATGGTATATCAGCGGTATCTCCTAGAGGACCTAAAGAAACATGAGAACTTTTGGGATATTTTCCAAGCAGCTATTTTATGGGAATTGTGGTTGAAAAAAAAATTATTTAGGATATTTTTTAGCAGCTATTTTATGGGAATTGTGGTTGCAAAGAAACATGATGACTTTTGAAGGGACATGTTTTGATAGTCAAATCATTAAAAATCGAATTTTACATAGTCTGTGATGTTGGTTCGGTATTGCTAAGTAGGGAAAATGGGTATCAAAGGTTGATGTTGAGTTAAATTTGCCTAATCTTGTCAACCTCAATGCTGTTCAAGTAAGGCTGAAGAGAAGATGGGAGCCTCCATTGTTTTCAAGTGAAATTTTGACTGTAGCTCAATAAGAAATCCAAGTGTGGCAAGGATTAGAGGTGTGGTTCAAGTTTGTGCTTGTAGAGTGAAATTTTGTTATGTAAATCCTCGTGGCAATGTAAAAGCTAACCATACTATATTGGCAGCTCTTTTGCAAGGTTTGCAATCGTTCGTGGAGAGAGATTTGCTATTTATTGTGTGGTTGAAGGAGATTCTCTTAATATGATTAAAGGAAAATATAGAATGAAACTATTTACCTTTGATACAAGGTGGTCACATTAATCCAGACCATTGGATGTGAAATTCAATGGCTGCAATTATTCCATTGACCAAACTCAAACTTCAAAATAATTTTTTTCAAATTTTGTGACACATCCAAGCTATCAAATTTCACATCAGATGATTGTAAGTAATTGTGACAACCTTGTATCTAGATGGTCTCATTGTATAAAATCCCTATGAATAATTCGTGTAATAAGGAGGCTAGACCGCCATGGTATCTGAGATCAATGTAGTTGAAGATTTTGGATATTAGTTCTCAGAACATGTTTATAGAGAGGCTAATGAAATTACAGATTGGCTGGCTACAAGAGGTGGATCGATCGAGGGTTTGCTAGTTCCTAATTCCATTTGTGCTGAAATGGCTGTAATTCTCCTTGGATTTAAATAAAATTAAGTAATCTTATAATTCTCGTGCGGGGTTTGAAGCCTTCCCCTCAACATGCATTAAAGTAGCGAACTTGAGAAGTAAGACTCTCTCTCCAGAGGGAAGCAATGTTCCCAAAGCACCCTCGTCATACCTTGTTTGCTTCACAGGTAATGAGTTCTAGTATGCAAAAGAACCACTGTCAACTACAAAAGAAAAGTCCAATTTACAGCTCCATTTTGTAAGGGATGAGAGGTCCCTGTGAATTGGGTAGCTCTCTATCTATCTACAACAATGATCTCAATTACACATCATCATTCCAATCAATGCAGGAAGGGGCTCGTGGATTTTGCAGCAACGAATTGTGGAAATGCAGAATAGAATTTCACCATAAAAGCTCCGATTTGCAGTCTGCAACATTGGCAGGTAGAAAGAGATTTTCAGTTTGCCTGCTTCTTGTATCATTCGTCACTGAGAAGATGTGGGCTTTGGCTCTGAAACTCTCAAAGCTCCTCCAAGCTCGATGGGAACGAGAGGAATGAGAGAGTGTAACACATCAGTTATCAGTGGCCTGTAACTGGGTTCAGGTTGGACACAGAGCACAGCAACTGCAGCAACCTGTGTACCAATGTATCAACCTATGTGAGAATGCATGAAGTCCTCTCTCTCTCTCTCTCTAGGTTATTCAAATAAGAAGCAACGCGTGAGCCCATTATAGAATAATAGTCTCTCTCACAGTGGGCATCAAAGAAGCTCTTTGTCTCTCTCTTTCTCTCTCTATAAAACAATTAAGGTTAGTTAAGAGAAAGAAATGAAATGGCTCACATCGGGTATGAACTCTCTCTCTCTCTCCGCACCTTTGATGGAATTCGTTATCATATAGGAAGGATTGAGGAGAGAATCCTTCATAATGTTTGGTTTTGGTTTTCAAAGACTAAGGATGGGAGTGTCGAAAGTGGATGTTTTGTTAAATAAATCTCAGAAATTTGGTTATGCAGATTGCTTTGAGAATCAAGCTGAGAGGGAGGTGGAAGTGTTAAATTGAATTTGATGGGAGTTCTCTGGCGAATCAAAGGCCAGCAGGGTTTGAAGGAATAATTTCAAACACTGATGGTCTGATTTTATACTCTTTTTTAGGCCGATGTGGGGAAGCTACTGCTTATAAAGCTGAATTCTTGGCTTTGTTGCATGGCTTGAGAATTTTGAAAAATAAATGTTTTGATTAATGTTGGGTGGTGGAAGGGGATTCTTTAAATGTTATCAACTGGTGCTTTTTATTAGAAGACCTCCACCATGGATTTTGCAGGAATTTTGGATAAAAATTTTGGATCATTGTCGATGCCGAGTTATTACTTTCCAGCATATTTACCGTGAGGCATAAGGCGGATTCTCTGGCCAAAGCAGGTGTGTCTTTTTACAATCTATAGCCATTTCTTCTTTTATTGATGTGTAACATTGTTGTAATATTAGAAATGTGTTCTTGTCAAAATAATAATAATAATAATAACTCTCTCTCTCTTAAAAAGCAACACAAAAAAAAAACATGTCCCTACACATAATAACTAGAACAAGCGAAACAAAAAGAAGTGGGAAACAAAAGAAGTGGCTCACATGGGGTATGAACTCTCTCTTTCTCTCCCCTCCTCTCTCTTTGCCCCCTCCATAAAGTAGGTCACATGAGGCAGGAAGTACCTCTGTCTCTCTCAGGAATAGGATGAACAGACCTGATACAAATGCTTGAGATCCATGGTGTTCTTGATCACAGGATCGACGATGTTTGGAAGCTTTGATCTGTCTGTCAGCTGAGGCATAGCCTGTAAATCGAAAATGGCAAACACTCGTAACATTGCTGATGGTGGAAGCAATCTAACATAACATTATTAATGGTGGAAATGTCAAAGATCGACTCGAAAATAATGAAATGGAAGAAGATGATGGTTACCCATGTGACTATAGATTGGCACTGAGCTGGTGCCAACTTTTCGACTGGTTTTCTTCCCATCAGAAGCTCCAAAAGGACAACCCCGAAAGAATAAACATCGCTTTTCTCTGTTAGTTTACCTGCATTAACCATAATGATTTATTTGATTTTCTTCAGAATAACACATTACATTATTGTACACTAATGTGACCGTTAAATCCATATTCGTAATATAAATTGTGGGAATTTGCTTTTGAATAATGTCAATCTGGCAATTTGGATTTTGCTTTCCTCATTTCAAGCATAAAAGAACAAGAAATCCCCTGTTAATTACAAATAAAATGCTCTTCAACCTGAAAGAAAATTTGATAGTATAAAAGTTCCTTTTTGGTTTTTCCAAGACATTTCTTTGAATCAGAATTCATCCCTAAGAAATTTGAAGACTGGTGATGATGTGTTAGAAACAAAACCCCAATTAGTACAACTATTATGCAGGCAATGATCATAAACACATATTCTGAGTTATTCATCTGCATACAGATGCTCAACCCACAAAGAATAGGGATACAATTTACTTACCATCCAAGAGATACTCTGGAGCCACATATCCAAGAGTTCCTGAGAGCTTGACATTGGTCTTGGATTGAGCTCCTACGGTTACTGCAAGTCCAAAATCGGCAAGCTGTATGTATCCATGGCCAAATTTAAAGAAAAGAATTAAAGGTCAATGACAAAGAAGTTACACAGGAAAACAAATACGTAACCGAACCCCAAAAATTCAAGAGCAAGAATAGAACACTCAAAATTGAGAAAGCACACATGTTGATGCAACCATGCAAGGGAAGAGAGGAGAGAGACAAAGAGAGTGATGGAGCAATCCAATTAGGAATTCAGAAAACAAATATGTAACATAACCCTAAAAGCTATTGAAACAAAACTCAGACTCACCAAGGTATTCGAACTCAGCAAGCTGCTGAGTCCATAACTGAATCATGGAAACCAGTCGAGTATGTCTTCCCGCTATTTTAATGTGATTTTATTTTAACAGAATAATGGGAACCAGTGGAGTCTGGCCAGTTCCCAATATTTTATGTCATTTTATTCACGAATCCCGAGTTGATCATCTTGGACAGACTTAGCCGAGTCTGTCAGACCCAACTTGGGCTGGGACCCTAGTGAGTCCCGGCCTGAATCCTTGTTTTAAACCACCACCAGAAAATCACAGGGGACGAGACAGGGGAGAGGGAGTAGCAATTGGAACTGATAATTAAGAAAACAAATCCATGTCTACCGCAAAAACATGAGAAACAATTGGGGTGGGAACAAGGAATTTTGTTGAAATTCTAACAGAACAAAAACAAATGGTTGAACCTTGGCGTTGAAGGCTGAATCAAGAAGAATGTTTGAAGATTTCAAGTCTCGGTGGATCACAGGAGGGTTACAGTGCTCATGAAGATACTCCAGGCCTCTGTTGAGCAGAAGAAGCTGTTAGCTATCCACAATTCACAAAAAGAAGAATGAAATTTTAAAGCAAGGTTATAATTTGAAGAAAGCGACCAAGTCATGGAATTCAAATACCTTGCCGCATCGAGAGCGATTTTCATTCGGAGATGCCAAGTTAGTCCTGATCCCCGAGATGGACCTGCAAATATCACAAATGACATTGATTCATCCATTTCCACTCCTGTTGTGCTTATATCATTTCCTTTTCTTCCTTTCCCCCTGTAATCTTCTCTTTCTTTCTTCTTTTTAGTGGGTGGTTCCGAATTAATAATTCAAGATGCATAAATTGCAAAGGAAGTAGAGAAGCGTACCATGCAATTGAGATTCCAAAGACCCATTCTGCATCAGCTCATAAACAAGAAATCTTGACTGGCCATAAACACAATAACCCAAAAGAGAAACCAGATTGGGGTGCCTGATTTTACTCATCAAATCCACTTCATTCTGCATCACATCCCACCTCACTCAGATCCAGAGAGAGTGTGTGTCAAAGACAGAGATGGAAACATATAGAGAGCGAGAGAGAGGAGGGGATCGAGTACCTCGAATTCATGTTCGGATTCAGGTCCTACTGAATCCAACTTTTTAACAGCAGCGAGTATATTATCATCGAACCGAGCTTTGTATATCCGACCAGAGCCACCCTCCCCCAAAATATTGCTACTGCTAAAATTATTCGTTGAAGCTTCTAAAAAAGCATACTCAATCACAGAGACAGATCCCTTCTTACCATTCATCCTCAAAGAGTTAAACTTACTTAAAAAAGGCCCCAAAGTCGTCCCCTTTGTGGTTTCTAAGAACAAAATTTCCAGAGAAATCAACCACATTGCCACTAAAAATATGAAAAGGAATAATAAGTGAAACAAAAGAGCCATTCCTAACAACAATTCAAGTACCTGAGCTCTGTACATTTCTTTGATTGGCTTTTCGACAAATGGCTGACCAAATAATCAGAGCGAATAAGCAGAAGATTATAACACAAGGAACAATGGAAGCAATGGCGGTCAATAAAACCCATTTTTTCCTTAGTTGGTGATGGTGATGGTGTCGGTCCCCATGGACTCCAATCTGCAAACCTGGTTTCAAAAAGAATAGTTCCACTTAAACATCAGAAAATGTACTATAAACAATCAACAACATCATTGAGAGAGAGAGAGAGAGAGAGAAACAGATTGACAGTGAAAGAGACAAGATACAGAGTAACAGTGAGAGAGTGGTACAAGTAACAATGAGAGAGAGAAACAGAGATAGATGCAGAGTAGAAGTGACACATAGAGAGATAAAGGGAAGGGAGAGAGGATTCATGGTTACCAAATGGAGCAGCTGCCATGGATTCAGAAGCAGGAGAAATTGGGGAAATGTTGGGTATTTGAGGGGGGAGACCAGGAGCCAAAATGGGGGGAAAAACATGGTGATTTCTGGCATGAACGAGGTCCGAGAGCAGGAAACACCAGAAGATGAAGAAAGAGAGAGGCTTCTTCATCTTTTGGGGTCAGAGATTGAGTGAACCAGTTCCTCTTTTGAATTAATGGACGCAAAAGTCGAAGAGGAACAAGACACAGAGAGAGAGAGGAATTGAATCTGGTAATGGGTTTGAACAGATGAAATGTGGAGGGAGGAGATCCGGGGAGAGAGAGGGAACACACTTTATCCTTTTGTGAAAACTACAAATGCAATCATGTGGTAGTTATCAAAAGAGACACGGCCCAAAAACCAGAGAGAGAGAGGAGAGAGGGACAGAGACAGAGACGGAGAGATTATAAGAAAAAGGAGAAGCTCGTGGACGAAAACGCCTTTCAAAGACTTTTGAAAACTTGCCGAAAAGTTACCAGCGTCTATGCCAATTTACCAAAATGCCCTCGAAATTGACTCTTGAAAATGTACTGAACTTACTACCGCGGCCGACGTGAAATCCACTACCTTTGATGGCCATTGGTCGTTGCCGGTCCCTACGGTGGGGCCAGGGCTGGGGGGGCTGGGGCGCCTTTTTCGGCTTTTTTTTTTTTTTTTTTTTTTTTTCTGTTTTTAATTTGTAGGACACTAGTAAGTTGAGTGATTTTGTGATGTATTTCAGTTTGCTTATAAAGAGATCATTCGTATTTTGTAAATGGAGGTCTCAATCATTATTGTCTTTCAAATTTTAAAATGAGTACTTGTGAGAGTGTTACAAAGTTCAAAAAAAAAAAAAAAATGGTTCGATTTGTATAAAGCCGAGGCTCTAAACAATCATAGTAAATCACACTTTCAATTAGTGTCGAGAACTGTTGTTTCAATACTGGAAATCTTTGTGAAAGCTTTAAAATATAATTTCTTCTCTAATTATAATATTTAAAGCTTTAAAAATAGGGATCGAGCATATCTATGAAAACTTGAAAATTGACGGTTCAAAAATGCATTATAAGATGTACTATTTCCAAAGCTTGAAATCTATTTTTTTCTCATCTCCATGCATCATGAGATCTAGATGATCAATTTGAGGATATTTTGGCAGCAAAACCACCTCTTCTAATGAAATTTTGAGGTGTGCCATAATTTGATTGTTTAGAGCCGGGCACTTCTATAAATGTTTTCCAAATAAACAAATTTCTAACTTCATGACTCACATTTAGTGGGTGGGAATCGTTGTAACATCTATGTACAAAAGATAAATAGCATTTTTGTAAAAAAATTGAAAATAATAAAGAGTGTGTATATTATGCTCCCTCGAAAGCATACTATACATTTACCCCATTGGGGAAAACACTCACTTGGGAGACTTTTTTTTGTTTGAAATTCATGGTCCAGCTAATTATAACTAGATGATTATTTTCTAAGTAAAAAAAATTGAATTTTGAGTTCTTGAACATTTAGATTATTCCCATTCAAAATTTAGGTGATCTAGAGCAATCTTGGGTTGCCAATTTTTTTAGGCACGCACAATGAGAGCTAATTTCTCTTTTCTTTGAGTTTGATTGACCGACTTTAGAGTTCACATCCCCAAATTTTGGGATCCATCTAATTAACCTCAAGAATTATGGATCTAGAAAAAATAAATTTCGAGCCTTAAAAATTGTGTAACTTGAGAAACATTTCATGGAGTGTTCATTTTCAAGTATTAACAAAAAATGTATTAGATTTGCAACATTTTAAAACCTTCAATTATTATACTTAGGTCACCATAAGAGTTCCCAATGCCACATCTACATTTTCCGGGGGGTTCTAAGGTGCGCCCTTGACCTGTATATATGTTATTATGCATATGTGTGTGTGCATGAAAAGTTTATATAAGGCTTTGAAGTCAACTTTGTGCTATAGAAGTAAAATGTACTTTAAAAACTTATTGGAAATCGTTGTTCCGAAAATTAAAACCAGTACTGGCCATGAGTTGGGCGGCCCGATCATAGAAAACTAGAGCCTAGGACATAGAATGTAGCCCGATGGTTGGGCTAGGCCTACGCTTAGGGCTGGCATGCTTTACCCAGGCATAACCCTATTATCCTTTTTTTCTTTTCTTTTTTTGTATTTGGCCAGACCAGCCACAACCCTGACAATGCCAGGGCCAGGCTTCTTTGTCTTGATATAGGGGGTGGGCTCAATCTAGCCCTGTAAAAACAAAAGGTGACCCCACCCAAGCGTGGCCATTGCTAAACCTAATTAAAATCTTCTAGTTGGTACATACCTCCCAATGGAAGATTTGAGTGTTAATGTTTTTGGTGAGTGAGACTCTTTTGGTTCGCTGCATTTGACCCATCATACTAAAAGTCAAAAAATAAAAGGTGTAGTTTCTATAAGGTTGTAATTTTAAACAAATAAATTAAATGCACCTTCAAATTTTATCATAACATATAATTTTGATAAAAAAAGAGATTTGTTGGACAAATGGTGAAGGCAAAGAAAGACGAGGGTATTTTGGTCCATTGCAACTGTGTAAAAATTGGAAGGTTTTTTTGTCTCTCACGAAAAGATGATGATCGAGGGTAGTTTTAGTAAGTTTTAGTTGACGTTTACCGTAATTATGAAATTAGAGGGAACAGTTGGGAACGTGGGACATGGGCAGCGGAGCCTCTCCCCTATTTATTACGCGAAATTTGAACTAAAAACAATAATAATATTTTTATTTTAATGGAAATTATTTTGATAGGGCTGCAGTCTTATTAAAAATAAATAAAACCTCACCTCCACTTGCATAAAGTTTTAGTTCTTGTATTGAAAACTTTCGACTCAGTCATGCCAATCTTCAAGATTATGGTCATGAAAAAATTAGGATTTTAAGCTCTAAAAAATAATATATATTATAAAAAATTATCTAGACAGACTATTTCGCCCTAAAAATAAGTGGTTAAAATTTGTAAAATTTTGAGCTACATATTTCATAATAGGTGTTGGAAATTGATTTTAGAGGGGTCACAAGATTTTCAAAAACAAAGTACCTTTTGGACAAGATTTCAAATTTTGTAAATAGTGTATCTTGTAATGCATTTTTTGACTATTAATTTCCAAGATTTTCAAGTTTTCATAGATCTACTCGATCTAACATTATTTTTTAAGCTTTAAATTTTATAAGTAAAAATAAAAATATAATTTAAGGCTATCACAAAGATTTCGAACATTAAAACTACATTTCTCAACCCTATTTGAAAGTGCGCTTCACTTTTGATTGTTTAGAGCGTCGGCTCTATACAAACCGCACCCATTTAAAATTTTTGCTCTACTCTTTCCGTCTTTTATGTTGAAGTTCGAATGAAACATAGCATTTAGCTCGTGCCCGAAATTCTCACCACAGGGCATTAAATATCTAAAATGCCCCTATTCGTTTTAATAACCGTTAGGTTCTTGAATGGTACGGTGCCCAAAGGCAAAGTACCAAGAGCTTAGGCATGGTAAGGGTTTAAAAGACTACCCGAGAGCCAGGAATTGTTGATTCAGATTTAGGTTGACGGTAACCAACCTGTTCTCTTCTAGATATTGGGAATCGGCTCTACACTCTCTAATTTACCTAATAGTACCTTCTTCTTTTTTTTTAAAAAAAAAAAAAATGGATCGGCCTCCTGTTGGATAGGCGAATTGTCAATCTGGGTAGAAGAATCGTTAAAAATAGTGGTTTTTTAGTTTCTAAAAAAATTGAGAATGGTATATTACGTACTTTCAGTATTTTGTAAAAATATGTGAATATTGAAACGTTTTTTTGTTTGGATGTTTGTTAACCATTTTTCACTCGTATCACTGAAAAAAGAACTTATAAGAATCAAATATGGATATAAATACATGATTAAAAATGGAATATACAACAGTTAAAATATAACTTGATACCAAAATGAAACACCACATTGTTCTTCCTCTTCATCATGTTAGTGCCACTCATTAAATTGTCTCGAAAATTCATCGAGTCGCCATGTATGCCTCAGGATTGCGTGAACAACTTGTTATATATTCTATCTAATAATAGCAATTTAATACAATTTAAAAGTATATTAAATTTTTATTGCCCTTTAAAATAAGTTATTATAATAATAACAAATTAAAAATAAGTTATTTATGGGTGAGGTTTGTATAGAGCCGAGGCTCTAAACAATCAAATTAGAGCCCACCTTCAAATAATATCGAGAAATGTAGTTTCAATATTGGAAATATTCCTGATAGCTTTAAAATACTTTTTTTATCTTTAACTATAAAATTTATAAGTTTAAAAAATAGTGTAGATCGAGCAGATTTGTGAAAACTTGAAAATCTTGAAAGTTGACGATACAAAAATTGCATTACAAGATGCACTATTTCCAAAACTTGAAATCAATTTTTATCTCATATCCATGCATCTTGATGTCGGGATGATCAATTTGAGGATATTTAGGCATCAAAACAACCTCTTCTAGTGAAATTTCTAAAGTAAGCTCTAATTTGATTGTTTAGAGCCTAGGCTCTATATAAACTTTTTCTTTTGTTAATATATGTGTAAGTTATAAATATATTAATTTAAAATTACATTATATATTAAATATAAAAATAACATAATTTATATAACAATGACAATTTATTAATAACATGACAATTTAATAACAATAAAAAATTCAATATAGTAATGATCATTTTAACTCAATTATAGTAAATAAGTAAACAATTTTACATAATTATATTCATTCCACATAATAATATTAACATAATTTTAATGTAATCATATTCACATTATTATACTGATTTTAATAAGTTGTTAAGATAAATAAATAAGAATAATTTTAATAAAATTATACTAAGTTTTGTAAATTAATTATACGGAATTTACAAAACAGTTATAAATATATTAATTTAAATTTACAATCTATATTAAATATGAAATAACATAATTTATATAAC